GTATCGGATCGGAAGTGCAAAAACCTGGATCGGGACATCTCTAATTTGAATAATGATTAATGTGAGTTATACTCATCAATCAAGAAAAAAATATATAATAATATTTAACATCTTATCCATGTCTGCATTTCAGCCTTTAAACATTGAGTTGGGGAGTGGAGGTCTAGTGGTTAGAGCATTGGGTCCCGGAGGTTCACATCACACTCATTCCCACAGACTGCCACTGTGGGTCCCTGAGCAAGACCTTAAAACCCAGACTGCTCCCCTGGCACCGCACAATGGCAGTCCACTGCTCCCCAAGGGGAGGGTTAAAATACAGAGAGTGAATTTCCCCAGTGTGGGAAAATAAAGGGATTTACATCTACCTTGTAATAACACCAGGGGCGAGGAGGTGGCCATGGCCAATCATTGGCTAAGAGCTGTTATTTGTTCCATAATTCACCACCTCTGGTACAAGCAGTTCTTCTCTATACCAAGAAGACTGGAAGAGGTGATAAAGTGAAAATGTCGTAATTAATTTGATATTTTTAACACAGGGATATTAACCATAAACTGACCATAAAAATACAACAATTATCTATTTGCATCAATTTGCTAACATAGAAGAAAAATACCAAATTTGTTCTTTTTGTAGAAATGGATTCATGGGGGAGAAGGAAAAGTTAAGAGTCTGCAAGTTGTGTGGGAATTTTCTATGTAAATGAGAACAATTGCTCAACATAGTATATGTTGAGCAATATATATATATATATATATATATTATATATATATATTAGTATATATCTATATATTATGCAGAATAAGTGTATGAGTTGATTTATTGGCAAATGATTTATGATGATCTAGTCTTTCTTCAGTGATGTATTTGGAAAATACAGATGTGCTTGCCCTTTTTCGTGCCTTTCTTGGTGAATTTTAAAAGGGCTTTAAAATGTAAAATGATAAAATCCTATGTTATGTAGATTTGAATATTTATATACGCAGTATAAAAGGTAGGTTGTAAAGGTTGTAAGTATAAAACAGGGTAGGCAATAATTAGCTTTGCTTCAGCCTATTCCTTTTTTTTTGGGTATATTGTTGGTTTTGTTTTGTTTTGATATTGTTGTTTTGTTGTTTAATGTTGGATTATTTGCTTAAAAAAAATAAAGTGAAAGTGAAGTGAAGTGAAGTAAAGTAGGGAAGCCGCTAAAAGCTGCAGGACAACGTTGGGCATGCCTGCCTTAGACTCTTTCTATATGGATTGCTGATGTAATTTCTTCCTGATGTTGTGTTATTACACACCCATGTGCTCCAGAGCAGCATAAAGACAAAAGTGTTTCTTATAGGAATAGTCACTTTTATTCATGTTGATTTGACCAGCAGCTCCTGCATCCTAGTTTAAATAAACTCAGGCTTGTTAAAGAACTAATTACTTGTTTCTTTACTCCAAATACCATAGATGCTAGAACTTTGCCTCTAAATAAAGCAATAGAACAATTCTCTGTCTAAGATGGTTTAAGAGTGACTTGATGCTGCACAACTAACAAAAACAATTTATTAAAAAAGATTGCAAACACGGGAGGTTAATAAGAGTTTGTTTGCATCTCTAAAACTGAAGCTTTTTTATTTCTAAACCTGCTTCATCTGTAAACATCAAGGTGACAGTAATAGCTGCCATTTGCTGTTGTTTCTCTGCTCCAAAAATAGACACCCAGCGTCAGATGAGGGCAGCAGGGGTTATATTTATCAAACCTGTAAAAGAGAATCTCTTTGAAAATTCTACCACACATGCTCCGTTCTCATTGCAGTCGTGTGGCATTCAGGGCAGGACTGAATGCCAGGGGAACACAGGCTGGGAAAACAGGCTGTTTTTTTCCAAAAAGGCAACATTTTCTTGTGTGGCTGTTTTATTTTAAGGCTTTAGTCTGGACGAAAAAAAAAAAAGAAAGAGAGAAATTGCAAAACCCAAAAATAAAGTAGTGACATTAGACCAGATCAAAGGAGCCTGACAAAAGTTTTGCCATTACAGCCACAGACTACAATATAGTTTATGTGTCTTTTTAAAGACTGCTCTGTGTTCAGCCCGCCCTGGGAATACTTTTAAAATCACACTTTGGTGAAATCACAGCTATACATTTTTTTAGGTTGGTCAGATGCTGACTATACACTGGAAAAATGATCTAGAAATAAGTAAAAAATTATTAAAATAGGTGTATTTACTCTTAATTTGAGAAAGTAAATAAGGTAGTTTGCCAATGTAATGAGTTTTTTTACTCTTAAAATAAGATAATTAGATAAAATGCACTTGAAATAAGACAATGCAATTGTGTTTTCTTATTTTAAGGGTGAATTGTCTTGTTCCGTTGGCAAAGTGTCTCTTTTACCTCCTCAATCCAAGAACAAATGCACTTATTTAAAGAAAAAATTACTTATCTAGATTTCGATTTTTTCTGGTGTAAATTTGGGGTTATAGGGCACTCATTTGAATACTTTGAAAATCAAAATTTCAAGCCAGTTTTATTGGAATCCAGGACAAGAACTTATTACCTTTGTAACATTAAAAATATGGATATTTTTATGGCAAAGATTAATGTCCATGTAATAAGAAACTCCCACTTTCCCGAATATATTAAGAAAAATAATGGATTCTATAAGAAATTCATGAAAAACACTACACAAAGAAACAATTTTTTTTTGTACAACCTTAGCAGCATTAATGCAGACACTGGCAGTAACATTTTTTAGTTTATAAACCTAAATATAACTATTAACTAGGCTTATTAACTTTTTAACTCTTTAATTAGGTTTTTACCTTTTTTTCTTGACTTATTAACTTTTTTTTTTCAACTTAATTCACAGTTGGTTATATATCGTTCAAGGGCTCGTCTAATTGGTCAAATGCCAAAATGAGATGTGCAGCCATCTAGCAGTATCTTTGCTGAATGCCTGGATATAGATATTGTGCTTCTAGACCTCACTGAGGGACGGGGAGACTCCATTTTTAAGGGGTATCCAAAACGGAAACTTGCCCTATAAAGCGTTAAGTACAGAAAAAATGTTCAATTCTTTTCCAGCCTGTGCTTGTGTCTTATATTTAATACTGCCTAATCACCAACTTCAATGAAAAGCAGGATGCTGCTACTAACATGTTTCACTGCAGGGACAATGAGTTTATTATGTGTAGTGTTAATTAGAGCTGTACATCCCATATATGAAAACTTTCACCTTTAATCACACCATCTCCCACAATGACACCACTTTTAGTTGGGTCTTCATATGAATACCTGATAGTTTGTCGTTTAATTAGTTAATTTTGAAGGCACTGTAAGCAGCTAAGCAAGTAAATGTAGCTTACCTGACAGGGATGGAGTTGTATTTGTACTCTGAGATGTAGCTTTAGTGGAACTTGAGACGTGCAAGTGTCCTGCATCTGCTGATGTCTCCCGTTCAACCATCCTTTCTGTAGAGGCAGGGACTGTGGGATCACTCAAGGTTTCATTCCTGCCTGCAACATGTTGTGTCCGCTGTGGAACCTCTGTCATCGTGGGCTCTGTCCCCTCAGTTGGTGGAGGGGTCTCTGTAGGAGCCGGGGATGAGGATGCAATAGATGCAGCAGGCAAAGCATGGCTCTGACCTGTAGACAGGGCCATAAACACTCAATTATGATGTGAAACAAGTGTGCTGACATAAATGCTTCCTCTATTCATCCAAGATGTTATTCCCCCATTCATTTCATGCAATAACGAACATTTTTAAGTATAAGTGCAATCCAAAGTAGTTGTTCTCATGCTTTCATTATAAGAAGTAAAACATTGTGGCCACAACAACAATAAAACAAAATAACATACTTCTCCCCAAGGGCATGGGATAAATGCAGAGTTCATTTTGCTGCCCTGTACTTGTGACAGTGTAATGACAATAAAAATGTGGGAAAAAGGAAACACAAGACAAAAAAAAAACACTTTTTCTAGTATTTTGAGATAATAACAAAGGTATGCAAATGCACATATCAACATAACAGCTTAACTGGTTGCATGAAATTCTGTTGTGTCAATTTTGCTCCTCAGATGTCTAGGTTTGCTAAACAATGACATCAGCAGTGAACTTAAAGAAGTAATGCTCATCAAGTTAGGAAGGGTCATAAGGACAGCCGTAGATTGCTTTCAGTGCAAAAAATATCCCATAGAAAAGAACTGCTCTGAAGTTATCTTGTTAATGTACCTTTTAGTACAGATAAAACAAACAATAAAACACCTCAAACATTATTGTACAGATCTGGAATAGTCTAAGGGCAAAATACCTGAATACCTCAGATTTGAGCTCCTACCTCCTTTTCCTAGCTCCTATCCTTTACCTTTCGCGCCGCCAACGGTAAGTAATCCCGACAGCTTTCCGCCTTATGGACATTATTATCCAGCGGACATTTACATGAATAAGGCCTCTTAAACAAGTCTACAGCTTTATTAAAAAGAACTACAAAAGTACCAAAAGTTACTCAAATGTAGCCAACGGCTAAAACTCTTCATTATAAAACCAAAAATTTATAAAGGTGTGAACAGTAGCATGTGTCACCGCGAGTACAACTTAAGAAATAATGCACTTTTGTTTAACTCCGTGAGGAGGGTTTTGGCCATTGGATTTCTCACGCTAAGAGTTGTGGGCAAACCTTTAGTTCCTAGCGGCAGCTAGGAACATCAGGAGGTCTCGATGCTTAGTGCATCCTAGCCCCTTCCTTGCTGTGAGCACTATTTGGATAGCACTTATTATGGCCACTGCTGACATACTTCCGCCTTGGCCTAAGTGTCCTTACCGGTTTGAAGTTTTCAGATTAAGCTTTGATTTGTCTTATTTTACAACAGACTAGAACCAAGGTTTTCAATGAGGGGTTAGCAGCCCCCTGGTGGGTGGTGGGGGTATTACAGTGAAGCTGTGTGTATTTAATAGTTTTTTAAGAAAAGATTTTCACATTTTCAACCTTTACAAATGTACCAACCGTTTGCATTTGTCATGATCTTGGCACTAATGGCTGTATTTGGCTCTTTTCTCAAATCTGCTTTGCTCTGCCCGGAGCTCATTGTCTGTCATCAGATAAACCTGTTCTTGCTTTCTATTTAAGCTTCCTGTTCCCAGCCATCGGTGCCAGATTATTCGAGCTGAGTGTCAGAGTTTTTTAGCCTTCTTGTTATTTTTATTATTATCCGATCCTGACTAGTTTCTGCCGCTGGACTTGTGAGTTTTGGTTGCCCCTGTTCTGCTCTGTATGCCTAAATTGTTTCTGGACTGTTAACTGGATTCTGCCTGTTAATGACCTTGGACCTGTCTTCTGACCCTTTCTTGGATATCCTTTCGGTGACTCTTCGGACTTCTGATCCTCTGTCCTGGAAACCTTTTCCTGCTTCGACTCTGCCTTGGATAATCCATCTGGATTCTTCTTTTCCTGTTCATGCTCTGTCTTCTGCTTGTCGTTGCTCCACTTCTCCCTGGAACTCTGGAAGCGGGTCCATCACAAGCTACAGAGAAACCTCTCCTCCCAACTTCTTCTGGGCTCAGACTGAACTTTACCAGGTTGGAGACTCTCATGCTCATTATTGTTTCCCCTCTGACTTCTGAAGTCACTGACCTGAGTTTCCGTCTCTACAGAGTATCCAGTGAACCCGCCCCAGTTGACGATCAGCCACAGATTTACATTTTAATAAAACGCTCATTTTGAAATTACCCTGATCTGTCTGCTTGAATTATGGGTCTTACGTTCTGAGCTCCCTACAGCATTAAGACCTGTTAAAGCTATAGTGTGTAATTTTCAGCGACATCTAACGACCAGAGTGCAGACCGCAGCAGCATGAACATCCTCGTAGATGATGATAAATAACATAGTTATGTATAATATATTACATTTCTGACTGTATATCCCTGTAATTATTACACACTGTAGCTTTAAGTATGAAGTTATTCTTATTTTTTGTTGTTTGTGTATATTTATGAAGAGAAAATTAGTTCTAAAGCCCTCTGTGGTTTAAAGGTAATTCTTTGCCATCCACACCCCATCTGCCTTCCTGGTATTAATACATTCGTTAACAATTCAATTCAATTCAGTTTATTTCTATAGCGCCAATTCACAACACAAGTCACCTCAAGGCACTTTACAGTTCAACCATATCATACAATCAAATTGATTCAAAGTTTTTTATCTAAGGAAAACCAGTTGATTGCATCGACTCATTGAATCAAATGCAATCCCTCACACTAAGCATGCTTGTAGCGACAGTGGAGAGGAAAAACTCCCTTTTAACAGGAAGAAACCTCCAGCAGAACCAGGCTCAGTGTGAGCGGCCATCTGCCGAGGCCGGCTGGGAAATGGGGAAATTATTGGTCACATAAAGTGACCAATAATTTCACAGACATTTATAAAGAACCCTATATGCCCCAGTAGTGAATTTTACCCACCATGATTATTGAAATTATTAGAGCACCTAAATTAAATGATTTGGATGGTGAACAAATCATTTGATTTAACACCATCTGTTAAAAACTTTGACACTGCTCTCCAGGAAATATAGCAAGACTCAATATAGCTCTGTCTCTTCATCAACCTGTGAATCCCTGACTGAAAAAAAAAGATTAAAGACACCTAGACTAGATTATTTAATTGAAGTCGTTGGATGCTAAAATACATGGTCATTCTGACAAGTAAAGCAGATCATATCTTTCTTGTAATTCCCCAAAAGTCATGTAAAGATGTTTTGATTAGATGAAATCAAAATGGTTGGCAATTTTTTGGGATATAAAAGGACAAATCCTGCACAACAAGGTGTTGGCAACATTAGGAATAGATGCTTTCTATCCACTCTGATGGACTTGACCTACTTTACATAGAGAGAAAGGGGGGAAACCCTTCTGCATGAGGAAAGCAGCTATCCCATCAAACTACTGACCAAAGAAGACTTAAAAGCACAGCTAACTTTAAGAAATCATGCATCCTTCCCACAAATTCGCTGAAATTATGCTCCTAAGATGATAAAAGCGGAAAAAGTTGAATAAGGTTCTTAGTGTTGAAACCGCAGATAGACTCTCTGTCTGCGTCAGCGGGTCAAATAAGGTGACAAGCTTTCTCTGAATTGCATTTCAGGAGTTAGAGCATCCTCTGCGTGACTCCAGCTGACGTCAGAGACAAAAACCACAAACTGGGGGGGGTCTTACCTCCAGTCTGCGGTGATCCGGTAAACACCACCAACACGCAGATCACCAAATGGATCTCAGCTCTCATCTCATCAGGGTTCCTCTGCCTTCCTTTCTTCTCTTCTGCTGCAGATGTCAGTGAAGCCTCCTCTCGCCAGCAGCTCTGCCCTCTTTCTCTCTTTTCATGTTGTTTCCGTTACGTGATTTGACAGGGCACATCATCAGCGCTAAAAATATCCTGAGGGAGTCGGGCAGAAGAGGGTGGGGCTGCGTGGCCTGCATGCTGCGTGGGAGCAGAGGAGGAAAAAAAATCAAAACAAACAAAAAAAAGCTTTTTTTTTTTTTTTTTTAAAGAAGCCTTCACAGATCTCACCGTAAAACTAAACCTCTGCTCTCATCCTGCCAATATCACTGAGTTTTTTTTTTTTTTTTTTTAAAGAAGCCTTCACAGATCTCACCGTAAAACTAAACCTCTGCTCTCATCCTGCCAATATCACTGAGATTAAATGAACTGCGTCTGATTTTGCTGGCTGGTGCCGCGCTGCTCCAATCAGGCGTCGGTGCGTCAGAGGCGCAGCTGTCTGCGTCAGGAGCGCCTCAGGAGCGCAGTCAGCTCCGTAAAGGTTGTCCTAATACACTTCCTGACCTTTCAGGGGCTTTAAGTGAAAACAGGCAGTCAACTTTAGATCCTCACCTTTGGGGGTCTCTTTGCAAAATAAGGCAACTTTTTTTTTTTAAAGAGGTCAACATGTCACCACACCTGAGCGCTTTGGCAACCCGCGTGGGCTGCGTGGAGGGCTGAGAGCGCCCACAGACTCATTGGGCTCACTTTTGGAGAGCTTTAAAAAGTATATTTCTATTTATTATTAACTGAATCTGTGCCTGATGGAGTCCGAAGCCATCCCAGGACAGAACCCGGTGGAGCTGGAGTTTACACAGGACAACATAGAGACGGTGAGATTATACTTTAAATACAGTTATCAATGCAAAAAATGTGTATACAAATATTTTTTAAAATTATAATTATCATTTAAGTCGGTTTGAAATAAAAAATCAAAGCTTTTTCTGGGAAATAACTGGTTTAGCGTTTAGGAAAGTGGTCCATTTGTAACTTGATTCCAGCTTTAAGCATATGCTGTCCTAATAATAACCAACAGCATGTGCCTTGGATTAGTTCCTATGACAACACATTTTTACTGTCTAAGAAATTGGTCCTCCAGCATGCATGCCAGTTTAATTAGAGGTAAATATTTTTATTCCATCATTTTTGGAGAAATTCTGCATTGCTTATTCTGTTCAATGCTCCCCTTTACATCAGTTTCCCTTCCCTCTGCAGGCTCTCTACCAGCTGTACTTCGATCCAGACATGGAGCACAAGAATGTAGCTCAGAAGTGGTTGACCAGAGCCCAGGCCTCTGCACAGGCATGGCAGTTCTGCTGGGCCCTGCTCGCCCCAGATAAGGTTCTGTTTTAACCACATTTAACCTTTACTTTTTTATTAATTCCCCAGATGCACTGATTTAACTGTTAGTGTACGATCAGATGATTTTTCAGCCTGATTAGCTCTGATATTTAAGAATATGATTGCACCATCCTCTCTTTGTTAGGGAAGTTTTTCTTTAATTTGAAGTTAAAGGAAAGAGTTTAAAGGAATAGTAC